TCTGTATAGGAATATATTGTCTATATAATCATGTTATATGGCAAATAAAACTGAAAATTTTGAAAAACCGATGTTGATTTCCGAAAATGATAAGATGATACTATTATGTTTAAAGTGAATGACTTTGTTTCTGAGAGAAAATGGACCTTAACGCCGACGAGAGGGACAAGGCAAAAGTCCCACTTGTTCTCTTAAAGAAATGGTTGATGTTACAAACTCTGATCATTTTGGGGTATGAGACCTTCAAAATATTAATCTGGTTCCTTGTCCTATTATGGTTCCCATCCAAGATGGCTGGCCATATTCTTTTTGGCTTGCAGCCACGGCTGCAAGCCATTTCATTTGGAAAACCTGTTCCGGTTAGGTGGTTTTCTGCTTACATTTATAAGTGCATGATTGAACGGGAAACCAGCTGAAATCGTGCCAATCGCAACTTTTCGGCCTTTTCCGTCACTCTTCGGATTAATGATAATAGCCGATGTACTTCCGATTGCAATCGTGACAATTCGGGCGATTCCGTCATACTGCGGAATCAGACGAAGTAATATTACGGAAATCTAAGCTATTTTAGTTACTTCGGTAATCCCAGTTTGCTTATATAAATAGGATTCGTATTTTTACTTGATTTATTGATTTAAACCGTAATAAATTAAAAACGAAATTGTTCTGTTTCAATTCTTTTTCAAGACGCAAAAGTTAGTTTCTTTTATAATTGTTTTTTGTTGGCTTGCAGCCACGGCTGCAAGCCATTTCATATGGAAAACTTGTTCCGGTTAGGTGGTTTCCTGCTTACATCTGTTGGTGCATGATTGAACGGGAAACCAGCTGCAATCGTGCCAATAGCAACTTTTCGGCCTTTTCCGTCAGTCTTCGGATTAATGATAATAGCCGATGTAGTTCCGATTGCAATCGTGACAATTCGGGCGATTCCGTCATACTGCGGAATCAGACGAAGTAATATTACGGAAATCTAAGCTATTTTAGTTACTTCGGTAATCCCAGCTAGATTGTTTATATAAATAGGATTTCTATTTTTACTTGATTTATCGGTTAAAACCGTTAAAATTGTTCCGTTTCAATTGTTTTTCAAGACGCAAAAGTTTGTTTCTTTTATAATTGTTTTTTGTCTGTATTAGTTTTATACAATAGAGAATGGTGACTGTAGTTCAAAGGGTGGTCCTGCTTACCAAATCACGCATGACCGAGTTATATTTAGATCTACTGAACGCAATTCAACTTCTTGGTCAGGTAATCTAAAAATAGCCCATGCATATCATTAACCTTGCCACGTGCTGAATCGTCTATTTGTGATCGTGTAACATAGTTGATACATGCTCATTAATTGGTACCACGTAAAAGTAAAAGTATTTTAGTGCATTTACTTGTCTATAAAGCAAAGGTATGATTTCGCTGTGAAAAAGGGGAAATGAAATGTGCACACTTGTTTTCCTTCAGTATCACGTTAGTATTTTTACGATTGATCATTTGATCATTTTTGCGACGGACGCGCCCTCAGGCGCGTTCAGAGCTAAGTCATCTACATGGGATTTCGTCTGCTACACTCGCGCAAAGTGTCCTCAACCGATTAACAGCCCAAGAAAAAGTACATGAATTTGATCCTTTAAAACTCCCATACTATGTCGGGATATCTTAAAATCTTCCATAATTAGCCTTTTCAATTTCAAATTAAGTTATCCAGGTTAAAAATATGGACGTATATGATTGATAAAAAACGTTGTAGTCCCGTAGTATTATTGCGCAATTATGCAAATTACTGCCGAAACGATTTACCGCTGTCGAAAAAGTAGGACAGCAAATTATACTATAATAAAGGTGTAAGCTCTGAGTTCCAAGAAATTATTAGTAGGAAATAAATATTTCTACATTATACAAAACATTATTATTAACAAATCAAAAGTTTTTTGGACTCTAGAATAACTCGCGCATTAATAAAAGAAGAACTATTTTCGTGACTCATACCGCGGGTTTAGCTGAATATTCAGCAGTTATTAATAAATTAGATACATTTTCTAGGTCACGATATGAGTTAACCTTCGCTATTCTAAAAATAGATTCTGCTTTACCTGTGCTGATTTTCGGACAGTAGGGAGTACACATTATACATGTTATAAACCAGCGGATACTTACTTTGTTCACATGCAATACTTTTAGATATTCTATACAATTGTAAGAAGCAAACAAGTTGAAAATGTAATTTAATGTGAAAATGAAAAGGACAACTAAACACTATAGTGCTTTTAAAAAAAATTGTGACATTTAGATTAAAATAAAAACGATGTGCTCTGGCCCTTGCAAATAAAAAAAATCTAAAAAATACGGTGACTATTAATTGCTGATGATTTTAACCAAAAATATTTTTAATGAGACGTACATATCCAAAAGAAATAAAAATACAAATGACTTATATTTTATTGTCTATATGCCCACTATGTTAAAACACGAAACAATTCTAAATAACATTCTCACATGTATAATCACGGATTTATCCGTGGTATAATGTATTATGCTTGAAGTCTATTTGCATGGTTTTATTTTAGAAATATGTCGTTGAAAGTTTTTTTTCCATTTACATATCATTTCTTGGAATAAATCGATAATGACACTGATTTACAAGTTTGACCAGGGTTTTAGGCATATATTTCATTCTGCTTGAAAGTAGAAAATCTGGATTATATCAGATTGGGACACAAAATATATTGCTCCTTGTATGGAACAAATTTTCTCTGTTATATATTTTGTGTTTTATTTTTTTTCTAAAAAAACCCAAAATGTCTCCCCAGTTGCATGTCCGTCGCATTCAGTGCTGCAGCACTTTGATTTAACCAGGTTTTCCGAAGGAAAAACTGGTTATTAGATTGAGGTATGTCGGCGGGCGGCGGGCGGGCGGATGGGCGGACGGGCGGGCGTAAACAATTTCTTCTGTGCGCAACTCCTCCTACATTTCTCAACGGATTTTGACCAAACTTTCACAGAAGCTTTGTCATCAAGTGCCCTGGCGCATATTGTCGGGGTTTTGCGATTAGATAATATTTGACCTAATTATGGCCCTTTGTTTTTTTTCCTTATATAAAATATATAGTGAACAATTTCTTCTGTGCGCAACTCCTCCTACATTTCTCAACGGATTTTGACCAAACTTTCTCAGAAGCTTTGTCATCAAGTGCCCTGTCACATATTGCCAGGGTTTTGCAATTGGTATATATTTGACCTAATTATGGCCCTTTGTTTTTTTTCCTTATATAGAATATATAGTGAACAATTTCTTCTGTGCGCAACTCCTCCTACATTTCTCAACGGATTTTGACCAAACTTTCTTAGAAGCTTTGTTATCAAGTGCCTGGCACATATTGTCGGGGTTTTGTGATTGGATAATATTTGACCGAATTATGGCCCTTTGTATATTTTTTCCTTATACAGAATATATAGAGAACAATTTCTTCTGTGCTCAACTCCTACATTTCTCAACGGATTTTGACCAAACTTTCTTAGAAGCTTTGTTATGAAGTGCCTGGCACATATTGTCGGGGTTTTGTGATTGGATAATATTTGACCGAATTTTTGCCCTTTGTATATTTTTTCCTTATACAGAATATATAGTGAACAATTTCTACAGTGCGCAACTTCTCCTACATTTCTCAATGGATTTTGACCAAACTTTCACAGAAGCTTTGTCATCAAGTGCCCTGGCGCTCACTAAATTCCCATGTTTCTTCCAAGACATCATTCAAGTATTTTTCTAAAATTGTGAACCTACTTTTCTTGATATCGCACAAAACACCACACGCCAATATTGTTGACAAAAGAAAATGACAAGAGATGCAAAAATGCAAAAATTAAGCAAAAATAAAGTACTGTTTACCTTTCTAAAATATTTGGGGAAAAAAGGCGAATAGACAACATAAAATTTCTCAATCATTTTTGTTTGAGGAATATTAAAAAAGCCATAATTCCTCCTAAAAGTTCAATTAAAAACAAATGCCCCTTCATGACAAAGCTTCTGTGAAATATTTTGCTGAAAACCTGGTTGCATCGCATTGCGATGTTCCTTGTTATTAGTTTTATACAATAGAGAATAGATTGACAAAAAATATTCGGTTTTCCAAAAAAAAAACAACAACTAAATAAACCCTTTATGATATACAAATACCGTAATTCAAAAAAAAAAATGTGATAATAAATTGAAACCAAAATAAAAAAAAAAACAATTTTAAAGGGTTGGGATGAAGGCACAACTGTGCAAGCCTTTCCTTTTAAAAGGAAACTTTATCTGTATTAGTTTTACACAATAGAGGATGTTGACTGTAGTAGTATTCCGTCTTCAAAGGGTGGTCCAAATCACACAGTGCATGATCGAGTTATATTTAGATCTACTGAACTTGGTGAGGTAATCTAAAAATAGCCCATGCATATCATTAACCTTACCACGTGATGATTTATAGATAGCGCATCGTATCTGGGAACATGCTTATTAATTAAATGAAATGTGCACACTTGTTTCCTTTCAGTATGATAGATCTTCGCGTTAGTATTTTTACGATTGATTATTTTCTTTATTAGTTTTATACAATAGAGAATACTGTAGATTTCAAATCGTTTTGACAAAAATATCCGTTTTTACAAAAATAAAAACAAATAAATATGTTGGGATGAAGGCACAACTGTGCAAGCCTTTTCTTTTAAAAGGAAACTTTATTTTCCTTTTAGAAGTGCGCTTGGTACCAGTCTATCAAAATATAGGAGAGGCACACAATTTCATCCAGAAAAAATTATCCTTTGTCCGAAGTTTTAAGACTAAGATACTAAGATAGAAAAGAATGTCGAAATATACCGGTATCATAGAATTCCTTCGATGGAATGAAGGCTCTAGTTATTTTTACTCTACAGAGTGGGGGATTGGTGACCTTTTCAATTTCTCCAAGATATACAAATTCAAGTAATAACGATATGAATTCATCTTTTCATCTTTTATACACATTTATTAACAATTAGAACATAGCACATAATGTAACATCCTTCATAAAAAACACAAACAAACAGACAAAAGTAACACATAGCAAAACATAAACACCAAAAAAAAAATGTCAGAAGTTTCTAGTCAAAACCATTGGTTTAGAATGACTTACTTAAAGTCATGCACTGCACGTGATATTGTCTTACCAAGGTCTCCATGGTGCCTCTTGTTTAATCACATTATCAAGAACTAGGTCACTTTTTGTTTGTAGTGATTGCGCATGCGCGATTCCTTCAAGGTCTGATGTTGAATCAACAACGTTATCAGAAAATCCGGAAGTACTAGAATCCGAGGCTATGGAACTGCACGTCGATAGAGCTGGACTCGGCATACTGAACGGGGAACCAGCTCGACCAAAATATAAACTATCCATGGGTGAATGCACTCGATGACCTCGGATCTCAGCAGAAGCAATAGGAGAAAACATGTTGCTTCTACAAAAAGGACTAAACGCTGGTGCTGGTGGTAAATTCAAAGTTGGTGAAATAGCGCATCTACGATCAGAAATAAAACTGGTCTTTCTTGCAGCAGACGACATGATGACGTCATCTTGGCCGGAAGTATCACAGGCGTTATGTAGATGGTTATCAAGATCTAGAAGAAGAGGATTTGGCATCATGGCAGCTGAGCTAAGGTAACGGACAGTCTCTTCCCGGCATTCCCGGAAGCCCGCGCGGTAAGCTGTCATGCGATCAGTAGATTTGGTCTTGGTTCGTTGGTGTAGCTGGGATAGGTGAGTCACGGCCAACTCTAGAATCTCCGCCTTGTCCATCTTTACTACAGAGGCAGGCTAAAATAAACAAGAACACACAAAAATTAGATTAAACAATACAATTCGTTTATAATTATTATGAAAGAATCATAAAATCTACGCGCGTATGTGTCAGTTATACGAAACAGGAATGTCTACAGTCGAAGTAAACAGTAAACAAACGAAAAATTTTAGGAAAAATATGAGTATTATTAACTTATGCGAAGTATAGTTTTAATTTTTTAACACTCCATTTTTACACTCCATTCCAAGTAGAGTCGGGGTTCGAATTTGGGTTACAGTATTTATACATTGTCTTAAATAATAGAACATCTGCTGAGGTAATGCTATTCATACAACATTTATTTGTGTAAATCAGTACAGCCAAACCTATGTTAAAGACCACCTGCAAATAAAGACCCTACTGAAAATAAAGGTCACTTTTCGACAATATTTCATGGACTGAATACAACAGGGTTACTTCCAAATAAAGACCACTTGTCTGAAAAGACCATGTTTAGTTTCTCCTTTGGGTGTCTTTTGTTCACTGGTTTGACTGTACTATTACATTTCGATAACATTAAAAACAACTCTTTAATTTATCATTTTATATCAACTGCAATATTCTTGTTAATAATCTCAATTTTGCAAATTTTGTTCTTCTTTGGAGGGAAATTGATTTATATTGTAAATATTTTTTACTTGTTTCCAAATCTAGTCTTTATTGAACATTTTGTATATGTGTACAAAACATCGAGTTAATAAAGTTTAAAGTATAAACTACGATAAAACAATTTATCTATTTAACTAAAAATGGAAAATTAAACATAAAATCAAAAATTTAATTAAAGTATGGTTAATTAAAACAGAGGCAACACTTAAAGAAATCGTCATATATAACTTACGTTGTTAGAAGATTTTGCCAACAAGGCTTTCAGGCTATCTATACTGACATTCATACGATCTCGTCGTTTCTTCTCTATCAGCGGTTTACGCAACTGAAAATTAAAGAATACACAAAATCAGAGAGTATACAAATTAGAGAATACACAACTTAGAGAATACACAGATTAAAAAATACAGATTTTTTTTTTAGGAAAGTGTACTCAGTATCGCATCACGAATAATACGTGCAAACATTTTTGCTAGTTGTATTTCAATTATCATCAACAAAGTTTTTGTTAAAAGTAAAAGTATTTATCTTAAATGTGACTTATATATAATACAAGTACACAGCTTCTCAGTGAGACAACGCAATCATTGTATCATTTATTACGAATATCTATAATTCAACGTGTATGGTTTATTGCGAACACGAGCACTTGTTACTTCCAATCACCTTATGGTTTAATGAAGGCTTATTTGGTTCACTTTGTATCATTTATTGCGATCACATTAAGTTTATTCGTAAAACATGGAACCGCTTAAGTGACAGCCATAATATGCAAATGCACATACTAATAGCTATGTAAGTGAATTACCGAGGATGAATAAACCGATCAACGTTTTTTTTCAGAACTAAGCATTCAACAGACACAGCATACAATTTTAAACACAAAATAATGACAAATCAGATAAGAGTTGACTCTAAGGCTGGTATTCCTTCATTTAGATTTTTGTACAAGAAATCAATAACGATTTGTACATTCAAGGGTCAGATAAATATTAAAGACACATATTAAGGATGTAAAAGTTTGTTTTAAAGTCACATACCTTCCTAAGGAAAGAAGAATCCATTGAGTCTCGCGTACAAGATCCCACCATCTTAAAATGTTTTACGTTGTATGTAATAAAATGTAATATTTTCAGAAATTCTTTTATGAGAATGAGTTGGACTTGTCAAGTTCAAAGTTTATATGATAAGTATGCAGATATTTGTTCATGCGTCCACTATTATTTCGTTTTTCTTGTAGGAAGTTTTACTCATGAAAAAGCACGTGCCGTTTCTGATTGGTTGATATTATACGCGGGTAACGTGGTTATCCAATCAGCGACCGGATAATGGAAAGTCGATAATTGGCACGTGTCATTACGCTTTGAGCGAACTCAACCCCGAAAAAGTGGGAAATTGCATGGATTAGCGCCTTATTGGTGGCGCACGGCTTAGTTGGCAATTATCAATCGACATAATAAATTGGTGACACAATTGTTTTCAATTGGTAATAATGACCTAGAATTGTGCCAGTTATTAACATAAATGAAAATTGCAAAGTTTAGGAAATTTCATCAGGATGTGAAATTGAAATTGAATTCAGTACAAATTAAATATACAGACATTTGTCTGAAATATTGAATTGAAAGTAAAATGTCTTAGAAGAAAGAATTGAAAATGTAAAGTACTTGAAAAAGTACGTGTCTCTCAAAAAATAAATAGATTGTGGTGTAAAATAAGTATAAAAAAAACAAAAGCAAATTGTAGTAAAAAATTTTTCGGTCTAAAGACATCCCTACAGTTCCACCATTATACTTTGTCAGGCAAGTGTCCGATCCAGTCTATAATCCTAGTTTTACGCAAATCAGTTGCAATTAACATTTAAAAAATAACATGTAGAATTTCCAATGGTATTTTAACGAATAGAAAGTATTTTGCCTAAACTTATAAAGACAAATATTCATCTTGATAGCCAGATGCAAAACTGATCAGGGCAGTCTAACTATTTTATATCTCAAAATGTTTCAAAGAAAATTAAAGTTTTCATCATCATCATCATCATCATCATCATCATCATCATCATCATCATCATCATCACCACTTGCATTATTCAGCAGCAGCAGCAAAAACAGTAGTAGCAGCAACAGCATCTGATAAGGATATCCTTTCTGTTTTAAAGGGAAGAAACTCTTTAAAAGAATCTGAAACAAGTTGCTGCAAGAAAGAAGAAACGAGTTCATCAACAACTAATAAAAGTCCAACATATTTAGATGTTGGCTACTTTAAAGGGACTTCACTGAGGTTTTCTAACTTAACATGGCAGGAAATATTTTTCCAGAATTAATGTTTCCGTTGATGTAAGACTGGACCAATGACTTGTGTGAAAAATTCACCCTGTTTTCCCAGGAACATTATTCTCATTGTTAAAAAATGTCCATTGATTTAAAAGCGTTGCAACGCCTTACACTAAAATTGGAATAATAGTAGCATGAATATATGATTTTAAATTTATTTCCGAGTATATTTCTTGGCTATCTTATGCATATCTTTTTCTTTAAAAAGTTAAATCTGATATAAATAAGAATTTCAAATTTTATGCTTTTAGGTTTTTAGACCTTAGTGGAGTTCCTTTAAAGACTCAACAATTCAATTGTCTGATATGTACGTCCAACGATATAGATAACTCAATATTTACATGCAATCAACAAATAATCGAAAAAAAAAACAAAGCATTAATCTATTGTTGCATCAGAAATATTTTACCTCTCGCGTGCGCACGTAGTAGCTATAGCGCGCGCACGAGATAGATGATATATTTCTAATGTCCCCTCTATGCCACCGTATTAATCTGCCAAAGTAAAACAAGTTAAACACCCAATTTTATTGACACAAACATTTAGACAAAGTGTCTACACAAATCAGCTTACTGATAACATGAAGCAAAACTTTGCAACAATCTTAATTCTTTATTATTTAAAATAAAAAGAAGTAAAAGGCCAATCAGCATCCGAAAACACATCGAACATTTAGGCGTCTGCTACCTAGAAAGTCAAACAATTTAAATATTTGCTTAGCTTATTCAAACATTGCCTTAATGTAAGTGAATTAATCGAAACTTTTTGTCAATTCAATTAACATGCGATTGGAAAATGCGAAAATCTGTCAAACAAAAAGATTGACATTATAAAAACTGTGGCTGGACCATTGGATAAACACCAAATTTTTCCCGGCAATATCTAGTCTAAATGTCTAGTACCTTTTCGCGAAACAAATCACCTTTCTGATAACAAAAGACAAACTTTTGTAACACGTTTATTTCATTAATCTTTCACAGTATTTCTAATTCATTATTGCCTGTCTTGTCAATCCGGGATAACAATCTAAGGTGACAGAATTAAAGAATGACTCCCTTAATGCAGAAACTGTTACAAAACATGGCGTGCGAAAATTCAACGGCACCGAGAATTAACAAGATAATGCCTGCAGACGATATTATTGTTCATTTTTCTGAAACATACATTTGATTATTATCATACATGATTATATAGAACAGGGTCATGTTGGCTCATTTCTAAAATGAATAAAGCCTACGCTCTGTTCTGTTCATAAAAAAATACAGTTTTTGAAATTTATACTTCTCGAAATATTTTTGTTGATGTTGTCTCGGTTGAGTCACGTGATTGGGTTATCTACCGACCGTGATATGGCATTAAAAAATCAAATTTTAAGAAAATGTTTTGTTAAATCAATCAAAAAATTACAAAAAACTAACTCTGATTACATTATATTATCAGTTTTTACTTTAAAAGTAACAATTTTATAGATTTGCAATGAAATAAGAAATTTTTCGTTCCCGGTGTCAAGGTAAAAATCTACTGCTCATATTTGAAAATAGGTCCGAGTTTCATGAGCTTTTTTAACATTCATGCATTGTTAAATGACAAAATAGAAATTGATTTTACAGAGAAAAGATGTTATTTAATCGTATCATGTAAAAATATTATAATATTTCACGATGTTATTTGCAAATATTTGATGTTTAATTTGGTGCATTTTCAAAATGGCGCCTATTATCTAAGTTTTTTAACAAAGATGGCTTTAAAAAACATCATTTCTTGAAATATTTATCCTTTTTTCAAAAGCTTAAAGATTTTTAAATAACATCATGTCGTTAAAATTTTCATTTTTGCTCTTGTATTTAATATTCGCCCTTTTCTTGAACACTTACATAATTTGCTTTTAGCAAATTATAGCGATTTATACCGAGACATGTTTAATTGTAGAGAGAAGGGTTTACATAGCGTGTTTCCAGACCATTCTGACCCTGTTGTTATCAAAACTTGAGAAAACTGTATCATGCATTATAGAACTAAATTGACAAAGTCAAGCATAAAGAAAGAAAGAAAAACGAAATGTTTATTGTTTCATGACTTTTCCCCCTTCTTCTTCAACAACAACAACTACAACAACAACATTATTATATATAATTATTTTTATTGTTATTTCTTCAGTTCAATAAATATTGATGAAGCAGAAAAATGCATGTTTTTCAGATTATGAAACACTTTTTCGTAAGAATTCTACTGTTAAAAGAAAGAAAACATTTTTACAATTTAGAGAAAAGTGATTTAGCACGGCTTTGATATTTGTAATATAATATTTGTAAATTAAAGCCGTGAATTTAGTAATGGAACTTTGGAAACTTGTCCGTGTGTATAGATATTTTCACTTGTTATGTTTGTAGACTTTTTTTTAAAGAAATAATAAAAGATCTAATATAATCTTCTATTGACGATACAGTTGAAGATACAATCTTAAAGGACCATGAAGCCTAAAAACTGTCAATATTTCTATTTATTAAAAGTTATTATTACAATAAATGTTTGACCTTAAAACACAGAACGAATACAAAATCTTTTTTTTTTTTTTTTGAACTTGAACTGTAAACTTTGCTCATTTTCATCTTAGCCCAACATTTGATCCCCAAAATTTCTTGGCAGTATTTTAACAGGTATAAAAATTATTTATTCAAATGACTTTGAAATCTGAAACAGTTGTCCTATGAAAAGTTTCAAAATGAAAATTAATTCTTCTATAGCTGACAAGTAATACGTTGTTTGTAATTATTTTGCTTTCTTTCCTTTTTTGCATCCTATTAGTACAGGACAGAACAGAGAACTATTACACTCAAATATGAATATCAAATTTTTAATGAATTAACATCCTGGGAGTTTTCCTTAATTAATTTTTTATTCAAATTAATTACAGACACAATTCTAGGTCATTATTATTAATTGAAAACAATTGTGTCACCAATTAATTCAAAATGATTGCTAATTGCCAAACAAAAGCCGTGCGCCAACAATTTGGCGCCAGACTGTACACTCTCACACTTTTTTAGCGGTTGAATTCACTCAAAGCATAATGACACGTGTTAATTATTGACTTTCATTCCCCTACTTGCTGATTGGTTAACTACTTTACCCGCGTAAAATATTAACCAATCAGAAACAACACGTGCTTTTAACTGAGTAAAAACTTCCTGCGGGGAAAAATGAAATAAAAGTGTACACTTAACAAATATTTTCATACTTACAATATAATCTTTGAGCTTGACAAGACCAACTAACTCTCTAGAAATAAAAATCAAATTGTTAAATTCCGAGTTATCAAACAAAAATACATACATTTAAAGATGGTTGGATCTAGTACACGTGATTCGTCGGATTCTTCTTTCCTTAGGAAGGTATGTGCCTTTAACAAAATATGTCATCCTGAATACTTGTCTTTATTCACCAAATTTGAAAACGCATTTTTTATGTTACGAAGGACTTTACAGCTTCAGTGATTACTTATATACCTTAACGCTGGGACCAAAAATATACTGGTCCCAGCTCAACGTCACAATGAAAAAAAAAAAGAACATAATTCTTTTTTTGCTGAAAAAAAAAGACCATTAGAACAAGAACATTACTACCAAATGTGTTCTACGAGGTGATCACGTGAATTTCGTGATGTTAATTTCGATTCTGAAAATCATTTTCTCTAATTTGTGTTTTAATGCACTTTAACTGTTCCATGTATACAGAAAGAGAATACTTTAAGAAATATCCTAGAATTGAATATACTGAAGTTTATTAGAACATAACTAACGGATTTATTCCATGAGACGATAACGAACAAAACGATTACACTCATTTCCCCTGATTCTAGAACATGTGTACATATATCTAATTTTATGTTATCTAATTTTTTTGTGTTCTCTCCTTTTTGTTAATACTATCTAATTTTTGTATATTCTCTAATTTTCAGTTACGTAAACCTCTGATAGAGAAGAAACGACGAGATCGTATGAATGTCAGTATAGATAGCCTGAAAGCCTTGTTGGCAAAATCTTCTAACAACGTAAGTTATTCTTCTGAATTTGTTTGTACTTTACTTTTCAATAATATCGACAATAACAACAACAACAACAAAACATCATCATCATGAATTAATCATCATCATCATCATCAATAACAGCAGCAGCAGCAGCAGGAGCAGCAGCAGCAGCAGCAGCAATAACATCAAACAACAACAACAACAACAACAACAACAACAACAACAATATCATCATCACCATCAACAACAACACTTTGTAAATGATTTATTGTATAAGTTCCACTCATTAATTAAGAAACTATGTATTCGTCCAAAGACGAACTTTTACCTCTGTCATATTTGTGATAGAATTTCAAAATCACAATGGGTCTCCTTTCATATATAAAAATATTAAACTGTTTTTATTTAGTTTCAAATATAAAATGTTAATCCCACGCTTAAATTTGATAACAATTACCTTACCTACGTACAGACAACATTCTTGGAAAATTTGAAATATCTCTATATAGTGATTAACGAAATATGTTTCTTCATTTCAGCCTGCTTCTGTAGCCAAGATGGACAAGGCGGAGATTCTAGAGTTGGCTGTGTCTCACATTTCCCAGCTACACCAACGACCCAGAACTACACACACTGACCACGTTACATCTTACCGTGCGGGCTTCCGGGAATGTAGGAAAGTGACTGGCCGGTTCCTTAGCTCAGCTGCTAGGATGCCAAATCCCGTTCTCCTAGAACTTGACAACTATCTACAAAACGTCTGTGATACTTCCGGCCAAGATGATGTCATCATGTCGTCTGCTACCAGAAATACTCGATTTGTTCCCGAACGCAGATGTACAAGTTCGCCAGCATTAGACCTGCCACCAGCACCAACATTTTGTCCGGACAGTATGTTTTCTCCTATTGCTTCTGCTGAGATCCGAGGTCATCGAGTGCATTCGCCCATGGATAGTTTATATTTTGGCAGAGTCAGTTCTTCGTTTAGTATGCCGAGTCCCACTTTATCCACGTGCACTTCCATAGCCTCTGATTCTAGTACTTCAGGATTTTCTGATAACGTTGTAGATTCATCATCTGACCTTGAAGGAATCGCGCATGCGCAATCCCAACAATGTAAAAGTGACATTATACTTGAGGCACCATGGAGACCTTGGTAAGTGTGTAACCACGTGTAGTGATGACTTCTAACAAATTATTCCGCAGAAGAGATTTGGTGTTTACGTTTTGCTATGTGTTATTTTTGTCTTTTTGTTTGTTTTTTATAAAGGATATTACATTATGTGCTACAATCTAATTGTTAATAAATGTATATAAATGATGAATTCGTATCGTTATTACTTGAATTTGTTTATCTTTGATGAACTTAGACGGTTTTCCTTCCCCGAACTCTGTAGAGAGCCTTGATTCAATCAAAGGAACTCTGTAATATATTTTGTAAGAAATCCTAATCTATCAATAACTCGCAAGAAATCGGCCAATTTTGCTTTTTAATATATACAGTATTATACATCTTATCTAAGACTGATTGATTTTGTCTAGATAAAACTCATACAAAAGGAAATAAAGAACGAGCCGTTTGGCAATAGGTCTACTAGCTTATTTAAGGAAAGCTAATACAGTATATTTAGTTTCAAACTGTGGTTACTTATCTCCCCTGATGTCCATTTCGCGAGGATTTACTTGCTAAAAACCGTAATTTATATGTAATAATCATCGGGTGAAAACTGAATAAAATTACTTGAATTTGATGAATTCGCTTTTAAAGAAATTGAATTATCATGCAGGTTAATATCACTGAAAAAGGACAATAACTCCCGTACAACAAATACTTTTCTACATTGGTAAATTGTATTTGGCTATGAACATTGTTTAAATTTTGGTAGACTAAGAATAAACATGTTCAATTGAGTCCAAGTCAATTATAAAGAACATGAACATAAACTAAATAACTGACTTTCAATGTAAATTCCCTCCTGGAAATGCAACGTATTTCCTTCTCCATTGTCACTTTATCTATAGCATAAAAACAAAAACTAAACTGTCATTTCGGGTGTAGATTATTTACAATCACACTTTTTTAAGTAATGTAAACATTATCATGTTTTGAAATGCAAATTAATTGTAGGGAACTGGATCGGTTACTTATTGCGTCGAATTTATTGCAGATTTTGATCAAACTTGATTGGTTTCAAAATAATATCAGACGATGTGTCTAGCATGTATTTTATAGTTATTCCAGATATTTTGCAGTTTGTCAAAGGTTGACAATTCTGTTGTTTTGCAGGGCGCACCAGAAATGGCCATTTTTCTACATTCATTTTTATCAATAACGTCACTATGTACACAAATAAAAGTTAGCAAACGCAAAAAATAGTTCATAACACAAATAATAGGTCACAAACACAAATAATAGGTCACAAACACAAATAATAGTTCATAAACACAACGTTAACATTATGATACGTAATATAAGAGCAATTTTTGATCAGTATACATGCACTTAAAAATGTCTATGTTTTGTATAAGGAAAGAAACATGAAAATATACATTTAAATATTTTTTTTGAAAAAAAAAAAGATATAAAATTATATTAATAATCATATAAATTAATTAGACAAATATGATAATGTGAAGAGCAAATAAAAACATGAGCAGAAACACACACTAAAATTAACATTTGTAAGCAAACAGAAGAAAACTGACATATGTAAAAAAAATACGAAAACAAACTTATATAAATATATAACATATGTAAATGAATAGGGGAAGAAATCGACGGAAATTTACATGTAATGAAATAGCGAACATAAAAATATTAAAAGAAATAGATTAAAATAAATATATGTACAGAAACAGACAAAAATTGCCATGTGTAAAACAAACAAAAATTGGCTTACTAGTATGAAAAGAAATAGAAGCCAGATACCGTCAACAACAAAATACTAAAAGGACTTGCTGAAGAATTAGCAAATCCTCTTTGTAATCTTTTTAATCGTTCCTTATCTATTGGAAAAATACCTTCTCAGTGGAAGTTAGCACATGTTTGTGCAGTATTTAAAAAGAATGACCCTCAAGATGTATCAAACTATAGGCCAATATCTCTTCTTAGCACTATCAGCAAGGTCTTAGAAAAAATTATACACAAACATGTCTTTAATTTCTTTGTTTCAAACAACTCTATAACCTCTTTACAATCTGGTTTTGTACCTAATGATTCTACTTCAAACCAGCTCGTATCTATTTATAACACATTCTGTCAAGCTCTTGATGTTGGTAAAGAAGTTCGTGCCGTCTTCTGTGATATTTCTAAGGCGTTTGATCGTGTATGGCATCGAGGTCTATTGTATAAACTAAAGTTGACTGGTGTAGCAGATCAATTACTTGATTGGTTCTGTGATTATTTGTCAGAGAGGAAACAGAGAGTCGTACTTCTTGGAGCCATGTCAGATATTATCAATATTTTTTCTGGCATCCACAAGGTTCCATCCTTGGTCCTCTTCTTTTTCTTGTCTATATCAATGATATTGTTTGTGATATAAATTCCACTATTAGACTATTTGCTGATGATACAAGCTTGTATATAATTGTTGAAAATCCGATAACAGCTGCGAATATTTTGAACAATGATCTGGATAAAGTCACTAATTGGGCAAATAAATGGCTAGTTACATTCAACCCAAATAAAACTGAATCATTATTAATTTCTCGAAAAGTTACTAAGCCTATCCACCCCCCACTAGAAATGAATGGTACTCAAATATCGGAAGTCATAACTCACAAACATCTTGGTGTTACTTTTTCAAATGACGGCACTTGGAATCATCATATTGACACTATCAAAGTAAAAGCATGGCAACGAATCAACATCATGAGAAAATTAAAATTTATTCTTGATAGAAAATCTCTAGAAATCATATATATTACGTTTATAAGACCACTTCTTGAATACTCAGATGTCGTATGGGACAACATAACAATACACCAGGAATATGAAATTGAGAAAATACAGCTTGAAGCTTGTAGAATTATCACTGGGGCCACTGAACTTGTTTCTATCTCAAATAAATGATGAAAAGAAGTTAAAATTAAAGCTAAAGACATTTATAATGTGCCTTGTAATGAGTCAATTACTTTTTAAAGTGACTTTGTTTTTTAACGACATTCGTGTAAAAAGTTACCTCGTTGAACATTTCAGGAAGGTATATTTAGAATAAAAGGTGGTTCTAGCTCATACACATACTAAGGCCAAATGAAAACAACAAAAAATATATGTAACAATTTGAATATGTTGAGTGTATTGAAAAAACACAGGACTGTAATCAACATACATATTTATTTTTGTTACGGGAGGGCTTTTGTCCGCCTTGTTAATTTCACGGGAGGGCTTTTGTCCGCCTTGTTAATTTCACGGGAGGGCTTTTGTCCGCCCAGTCATTTTCATGGGAGGGCTTTTGTCCGCCCTGTTACTTTCTCGGGAGGGCTTTTGTCCGCCCTGTCATTTTACGGGAGGGCTTTTGTCCGCCTTGTCATTTTTTGCCGGAAGGGCTTTTGTCCGGGAGGGCTTTTGTCCGTTTCCCCGAACGAAAACATTCTAAATGAATAAGAAATAAATCAATATATGAACAGACGAAACTTTATTGCAGATTTTGATCAAACTTGATTGGTTTAAAAATAATATCAGACGATGTGTCTAGCATGTATTTTATAGTTATTCCAGATATTTTGCAGTTTGTAAAAGGTTGACAATTCTGTTGTTTTGCAGGGCGCACCAGAAATGGCCATTTTCTACACTCATTTTTATCAATAACGTCACTATGTACACAAATAAAAGTTAGCAAACGCAAAAAATAGTTCATAACACAAATAATAGGTCACAAACACAAATAATAGGTCACAAACACAAATACTAGTTCATAAACACAACGTTAACATTTTGATACGTAATATAAGAGCAATTTTTGATCAGTATACATGCACTTAAAAATGTCTACGTTTTGTATAAAGAAAGAAACGTGAAAATATACATTTAAATATTTTTTTTGAAAAAAAAAGATATAAAATTATATTAATAATCATATAAATTAATTAGACAAATATGATAATGTGAAGAGCAAATAAAAACATGAGCAGAAACACACACTAAAATTAACATTTGTAAGCAAACAGAAGAAAACTGACATATGTAAAAAAAAATACGAAAACAAACTTATATAAATATATAACATATGTAAATGAATAGGGGAAGAAATCGACGGAAATTTACATGTAATGAAATAGCGAACATAAAAATATTAAAAGAAATAGATTAAAATAAATATATGTACAGAAACAGACAAAAATTGCCATGTGTAAAACAAACAAAAATTGGCTTACTAGTATGAAAAGAAATAGAAAAAGAAGCAAAACAACATAATTATGCAAAGAAACAGAAAAAAAAACACAACATATTTAAAGAATCAAACGAAAATTAACATACATGTAATTTGAATTGTGTAAAATCAGTTTTTAATTATGTTAAGAAACAGACAAGAAATAACATATGTAAACATTAACATACGTAAAGAAATAGTCGAACGCATATTTTTTCACGTAGATATGAAGGATTACTCCTATGTGAAGTTAATATTAATAGAGTTAAATAAATGATGAAAAGAAGTTAAAATTAAAGCTAAAGACATTTATAATGTGCCTTGTAATGAGTCAATTACTTGGGAGGGCTTTTGTCCGCCCTGTTACTTTCTCGGGAGGGCTTTTGTCCGCCCTGTCATTTTACGGGAGGGCTTTTGTCCGCCTTGTCATTTTTTGCCGGGAGGGCTTTTGTCCGGGAGGGTTTTTGTCCGTTTCCCCGAACGAAAACATTCGAAAGGAATAAGAAATAAATCAATATATGAACAGACGAAACTTAACATATCAGCAGAAATAAACAAATATAAAGGAAGAGACGACAAAAAGCGTAATTAATTAACAGTGACGAAAATGAAAATATGTTGAGAACCAAACGAAAGTTAATACACGTAAAAAAGACGTAAAAAGGCGGACGAAAACTTAACATTTAGTAAACTAATGATTAAATCTTGCACAGTTTTGCTTATTTGTCATGTATTATACTATTTGCTACTACCGTTGAACGTTTTAATAGCCAGAGCAACAGAAATAAATTAGGGTAAATGTGATATATAGGCGCTGCATTTTGAACAATTTTATGA